ATCAAATGCTTTTAAAATTGTTTTCAAGTAAAGTTTGAAAAAAAATGGCAAGTAAAAGCCTCCAAATGGCATCGTATATTTTAAACTTATCACCTACTGAGATATGTCAAGCCTGGAGAATATAAAAACCATGCTTTATAAGTCTCAAATTGTTAGTGTTTCAACTAGTAAAACTAAATGATCATGGGATATAGCTTAAGTATAATAGACCATACACTCTAAATTAATTTTTAACATTCAGATGTTTAAAAATTGTTTTATGATTAAGCAAAGCTGATATTATTTTAAAAATAGAAGACTAGAAGAGTAGAATTAGTAGGTTAATGTTTAACAATGGGTTATAATCATAGACTTACTTGGTTTAACACAAAAGCAGTTTTGCATATGAAAATTTCCAAAACACTAGCTGAGTCAGGATGTATCAAAATGCACATTTTGATATTTGGAACTCATTTATACATCACCATTTAAGAGAATTTTGATTCTCAAATTGATTTTTTGGAAGAAGTCCAGGCACAATTTTTTAAAAGCTCTGTGTGTTAAAAAAAAAATTCCTTGCTTCAGCTTTTATACATTTGAAAAATTACATTTATGGTTGAAGTGAAGAATTATATAATTTATGCCAATGCTATGCACAAGTTCCTCATGTTTCCATATAACTTAAACTACAGTCATGCTGTCACCTATGAAAGGTTACTTTAAAAACTAACATTTATTCCTAATGTCTAAGGTTAGTTCCCAAGAGGTGTATTCTTGATATGAGGTTTTTTTCCTTCAGATATATCTTAACTCCCAAAATTACTAGGAAGAAAAAAACCTAATTGAATATTTTCATTATTTTACAGTAAAAGTACCTCTAAAAAAGTCATCCAAATTTTAAAAAGAACATAATTTTAAGAAAAAAATATGCCCGCTAGTGCCATTTTACTGTTTTTCAGTAAGTACAGAAAAAGTGTTTCTATATGTCCACTCACAATTTAAAAAGAATTTCATCTATGGAAATTTCATCTATGGAAATTCTGACACTAGAAGGCTACATTTTAGCATGTTCTTGTACTTAGTATTGGATTCATATATGAAATGTATCTCGAGCCAGGACTCACACAAAAACTTCAGCAACTGAGTGAAACTTCCTCCAACCAAATCAAATGGTAAAGATAGTTTTAAAAATCCTTCCTGCAAGGATATACAAAATGCTTACATGTTTAGGTTTGTATGTTTTGGTCTATATTATTTCAAAGTATGCAAAACTCTTTTGTGTGGTTTACTAGGAGACGCTTGCTTAGGAAATGTGAAACCTTCACCCAATCACAAACCATATACACTGCTCCACTGTGTCTTTTACACTGAGCCTCCTACGGAGTCCAAATCATCCGAGGAGAGGGGGCGGTACAGGTCCTGTAAGACGAAGGGCAGGGACATGTTCGTTTATTTGCTTTCGTGGGTGCCCTGTTGCTCTCTTAGGAGCAACTCTGAGTGGCATCCTTGGTTTCTAGTATTATTAGACCTTTAAAGTCACCAACTTTGGGTATGAGGAAAGGAAACAATGAAGGAACCATCTATATAGGAAAAATGATTCCGATTTCACCTTAAGGCATGAAAAATACCTCCTGATCTGTTTGTGAACTTTTGCCTTCCTTCATGTTCTGTTGAGTTAAGCCCCGTGAGGTCTGCCAAGACCAGCTCCGCTACACTGTGCCTAGAAAATCCTTCCATGAACATTTCTTTCCTATTCTTTTAGAAAAGGAATGGGCTTACATCACAAAATAATTTATCAGGTGCCCCAGCAGGCATTCAGCATATTTTGGTTCCAGAGCAGCAACTCATGTGTTGTGTTGGGACACAGCATGAACCCCCCAATTTCCCACGCACCCCCTCCCAATGCTCCTTCCTGTCCCCAACCACTTGCTCACCACATCACCTTGTCTTCCCTCCTGGGCATTCATGCTATGAGATCTCTCTGTTGGTAGCCAAGCAACCAGCTCAGATCTGCAAAGTGTCTACAGTTGGCTTTTTTTCAATTTTCTACCTCCCACTCCTCACATCATCTGATCAGATAATCTACAAAAGTCAGTGACGTGGGAGTATAGCAGGGAGCTTCACTGAACCTGCACAACACTTTTCATCCCAATGTCTTGAGAAACAGAACCAAAAAAAGTTCACGGGCAGGAAAAGAGCCTCTGAGGTCTGATTCTGCGACCACTCAGATGCTTCTAGATAGCCATTGGATTCACTGCACTTTGGAAAAACAGGGCATTTGCTTAGTACACTGCTATGAGCATGTTTAGGAAGGAAAAGATTCGAGATGCAGACTTAATTGCATACGTGTATTCTATAACCTCAAAAGAAGTAACATAAAAAAGTGAACTTAAAGGAGGTAAAAGAGATGATTGACTCATATATAAGTGAAATATATTTTCTCATTTCTAAAGAAAGCAGTCCATTTTCCAAATATTTTAAAAAGAAAAAACAGCTCATATCCCTATATTTTACAGAGAGGGTAAGAAGGGTGTCTGTGTGTATGCGTGTGTGTGTGTGTGTGTGTGTGTGTGTGTGTGTGTTGGAATGGGAGCAGCCAACTCATTTTTCCAGCTATGTTGCTAGGCAACACAGGAGGAAAAAATAGAAATAGCTACTGTTTTCTAATGTGCAGTAAAAAGAGTTAATTTATTCTTTGAAGTGCCTTCTTTTAGCACATGCCATCTTTTACTTATTTCAGTATTTCCTGCATAGGAATATAGCCAAACATTTGAGAAGAATATTAATCAAATTTGGAACAGGACCATTCACTGGGACATCCTAGCCTCCATTTAACTGAAAGGGGTTATTTGATGCTGTTGTCTACACACCAAGATGAAAGGCCCTGCCACTAGCACAACTGGGAACGTCTCCATGCACTGACATGGTACATAGATGGAGGATGTTCATCAACTCAAAAGCTTTAAACCAGAACCATCTTCGAAAATATGCAGCTAAATTCAAAATCTGGGAAACTAAACCATCTTTGAATATATCCAGCATCCTGCTTACAACATGTGCTTAATAAATGTTTTCACATGGTGATAAACTCTTTGTCTGCCTAAAACAAATGGGATACTCTCCCCGACTTTAAGTATGGCTCTGGCTCTGGTAATATAAATGGCAAAATGAAGAGTCTGTCAGAAAACCATACCTTACGGTCATTTCCCAAGTGCTAGAAGTGTTAATTATATAAGCCAATGACTACACAGCTGGGTGGAAATTTTCTGCCTCAGTTGAATGAAATTCTAGAGAGGCAGAGAATACAAAGGGGAATGATAGAAAGCCTTACCTCACTCTGCCAACAAAGGACATCTGAGCGCAGCTTTACCCCTCCAAGGTTAGAGGGGTCTCCGTGATAAGCACAGTGGGATAGAAGCTGGCTCGCATCTGTAGCAGGGATTCTCAAGCACTCTCAATTTAAGCTCAACATCTAAATGTGAGGTACACCTATAAATCCAGATTAGATCAAAGGATAAAGAGAGATGTCTATGCTAGGCATAGAAGTTCACACTTCAAGAAAGAGAATATACTGTGAAAGAGGGTCCTTTCTGTGCTGTATATAAGGGCTGACCCTCTAGATGGAGCCTTTCATTGTAACATTTAAAAGAAAAGCATGCCCACACTAGCTCCTCCTCTACTCAAGGATAGGCTATTAGGAGCTTAAACAAATTTGGCCAATTCTTCTTTGCCTAGTTCAGTGATTCCTGGGCTTTAAAATGCTAAATTAGACTATGAAGACCTTACAAAAACACTCACGTGGAATTGGAATAGAGTTCCTTGAGTTTTCTATCCGAAAAGAGACTTTGTTTTGTTTTGTTCTTCCGACTGAGACCCAGAAAGGGTAATAGACTTATTTAAGATCACCCAGCCATTTAGTGGAGAGCCTGATGCCAAGTCCCAGGCTTCATCAAACAATTCAAACAGGCTCAACCTGATGTGAGGCTAATCAGAGAAGACAAATAATGAAGCCTGGTATTTGGTATGACAGTCTCCCCTGTGCCTTCTACTTTGAGACGTCTGATGGTTCCGGCAGGTTAAAGACTCACTTGGTCAGGAGATTTGAAGAGAGGGGGCTTTCATCTTGGTCGAAGCTTAAGTTTATGCAACTTAGATGAGTTGCTTTTAAACACATAATAAAAGAAATCAAACTCAAGATATCAGTATTAGAGTGCAATAGCTTCCAAAGACAGCTTGCTTATTAAACTATTCGTTGAGCACCACCATAAACTCTCCTACAGGCACACATTCTGCTCACATCACTTCTGAAATCAGAACCATGAATGGCCTTCCATTTCTGCCACTGTACCTTCCCACCTCCCCTTGCCAGTCCTTTGATTCTTGCTCTGGTATTACTGGAAAGAACAAAAAGTAGAGCAGTTTCTCCACCCCGAATGAAGAGCTAATCCTCATCCCTTTTCTAAGCATGGAAAAGCTAATGCTTTTTCTAACAACTCTTCCACTTTGGTCTAAAGGCTCAGCCAATTTCTGCTATTACACAAGACGCTCAAAACAAATGCAAGTAGTGATGACAGAAAATGTGTTCACCGTGGGTTTCATTCACAAAACCACATATCCTCCGTATGTCCCCATCTCCTGTTCCACGGCCCTCCCTTCCATTAACAGCACTTTCCCTTTTCCTTAAAGGGGTGGTGATCAATGGTGATATCCAATAAAACTTTGTATAACTAAGGAAGCTTGCAAACCAGTGCTATTAAAGTCTGTGCATTCAAAATGAAAAAGAGGATGGCATCTAAAAGTGAATCAGCCAGTGTACGTTCTTCCAAAAGTTAAGATTTGGAAAAGTGGTCAGAGCACTTAAAACTCTGTTGCAGCTAAACCACAACAAGGATAACTGACCAATTACTGGTCACTCCCGGCCCTGGTTGGGTTACCTGCTAGAGATAAGCAGCACAGTTTTATAGCTCCTGTGTACCAATGCACAGATACATCTCAGATAGGTAGCTGGCTTGTTTCCTTACCCTCTGCTTCCGCAGGCTTCCAGGGCTGGTGGGTGAAGGGCTTGGCGACTTGCCCGAGCGAGGGGTAGAGAGCTGGCTACCAGGGGTTCCATTAACTAGAAACAAAAAGAATCGCAAGGGAAAAATGGCATGTTAGGGGATTTTCATGACAATTCATCTCCTCAGAGAAACAAACAGTGAGAGAAAACTGTCTGCTAAAATGTAAATACCCATTTATCTGTATCACGAAGAAAAGACTAGGAAGCAATCACCTTCATAAGTTCACTGCTTTGTTAATTCTGTGTCTAATATAGCAGCAGATTATATAATAGTTTTAAAAATTTATCCAACTTTCTAGATGAATCTATTAATGATGACTTTATCTGTGTCACCAAAGATTTTTGGAGTGTGCTTAAGGTCCTGAGGCATTTTTAACAGGATTTATCCTTAATTCTTTATTTTAGCTGCCCAGCACTACCCAGCAGGAAAAAATATCAGCAAGGTTTACAAATGATGTTTCTAGTGACTTGATAAAATAAATCACTGTGATTTTACAATTAACGACTTATCTCTAGAAGTTCCTGTATTTGTTTGTGTCCTGTCCCTCCTCCAGCCTGATTCTGATGGACCTGCCTCAATTAGTACAAAGTAGCTGGCCGCAGACAGTGAGGAATTCCTCACAGCTTGCCTTTGCTGCCTTTGAAAATAAAAGCTGCTCTCTAATGGGTTCAAATCACTGGAATTCTGTCGGATTCTCAAGTTTATACACCATTATCTAAGCCACGATAAAGCCACAGAACTCACATAAGCAATTTTTTTCTCTGAGTACCATCACCTCTAAGGACAAGTAAAACCCTTATACAACATGATTTTATAAAGACATATAAGGTTGACTGTATTTTACATCTAGAAATGACAACATTACAGTTCTACAATGAGTGAAGTAGAATTAAACAGGAGACATACACATTCTGGAGAGTGCAGAATAAGCAATCTCCACAGGGGAGAGTGACAGTCCATTGCACTTACCTTCTATGAGTTCTAACATGGACACAGTCTTAGTGTGTGACCTGACAATAGTAAGAAGCAAAATCTCTTCTCAGCACTAAACCGAGCACCAGCAGAAATGGGAAGCAGTTGGATTAGTTAAGGATGGCTAAGGCTGCTCCAGAGCAGGCTGAATGAGATGCAGGATTCATCAGCAGATGCCTTTTCTGCGTAAGGCTGACGTCTTCCAAGCGGCAGTGGGAGGTGCGGGTTCTGTCTTAGGCTACATCAAAGGTGTCAATTAAGCCTCATGCCAACGCGGAGCCGCTGCACCCGCCACCCAACACACACTCACTCCGGAAGCCCCAGCCTTCTCAGTCCTTTGCACTGAATCATAATGAAGTGCCTCTGGGGGCAAGAGCCCCAGTGACTCATCTGAGAATCAAGATGACAATAATTCCTTTAATGCCTGGGAGCTACCAGGTAATAAGGACACCCTCACTCCATGCAGGGGATCGGTCCAATGTTTATTGATTTTTCCCACACCATAGTTTCATAAAAACTTAATGGTCCATGAAAGTGGAAAGCTCCTTGTTTTATCATTGTCTCCAAAGACCTTAAAATGTCATATACCCCATGCTGCACTAATTTGTAGTTTTGCCTCTGAAATGTATTTGGGGACCCTTTCTTCAAAGAACTACAGTGTGTGTGTGTGTGTGTGTGTGTGTGTGTGTTGTTTTTTCAGAGTGCAATGAGAAGCTGAGAATAGCTAGCTTGCGAGTACAGCAGACTGTATTTGTTGAATGAGTTTCCTACTCCAAATTTGTCAGGCTGGACTTCCCGGCCAGTGCCCTCTGAGGGGAGAGCTCAGATAAAAAGGCAAGTACTATAGAACGGGCAGAGATAGACTCTGCACTGAGTCACAGGAAAAGGAAAAGGTCCTGCTGGTTGGCTGCAGAACGTTTTATGAATGTAATATTTTCTTTGCTCACTTGGATTCCACTTTATGTCTTTATGTCACACTCAAAGCTGTATAGATTGGGAGAGAATGAGCAAATATGAAGCAAACCCACTATTAACACTATTTTCCGCTGGCTTTTTTTTTTTTTTCTCTGATGTCGTGTTCTGTGGAGCTGGGCTCTGCACCTATGAAGCAAGTGCTCTAGCACCAGGCTACACACACAGCCCATTAGCAAACTAACAGAAAATAGCATTAGGAATAAATAGCTTGCTTTAAGAGGCAAAAGCAAAACAAGAAGATTGTATTTAACAAGTACCCATTCTCTATCTCTATTTATTGAAGACTTCATTTATTTGTACCAATCCTCCCTCCCTCTCTGTCTCTGTGTCTCTGTCTGTCTCTGTATATCTCTGTCTCTGTCTCTCTCTGTCTTTTGCTGTCTCTCTGTCTCTGTCTCTGTCTCTTTGTCTCTGTCTCTGTCTCTGTCTCTCTCTGTATACATATACCATATATATATTCTATGTGGTAAATAGAATTGTGTCTCCCATTTTACAGATAAGGAAACTAAGTCATAAAGATGATGAGCACATGACCAAATCTATCCTAATCTATCTAAAACTTACAGTCTTACTACCACTTTCCCTTGCTGCATTAGACTTCTAGCCTGCAGAGAAATCAAAAAACTGAACTAACCATTACATGAGGTGTTTTGAGAGGGGAACCCTTGCATCTTACTACTGGAATTCTATAACTAATAAGGTTGGCCTTATGAGTTGGCCTACAACCCATGGAGAGGCCAATGGATGAGGAGTTAACCATGGGGAAGGACACAATGAAGGAAGGTGTTCCAAGCACAGGGGGCCACCCACTTCAGAGACGAGCATGAGAGCGGGGGCCAGCATCATGCATGAAAGGGCCCTAAATAAATCAGATATGTGGAGTTGTATAACTGTTGTGTGTGTTGAGGGGGTTACAAATGAGGACAGAGCAATAGGCAAAGGCTGCTGGGTACGCAGGCATTAGAATTCATATTGAGTTTGGCTTTTATCCAAAAGACAATGAGAATCTATTGAATGATTGTAAGGTGGAGTCATGGGGTCAGCTTTGCATTTTAAAAAGCTCTCAAGAGCTCTTGCCCCATGAAGAACAGATTAAAGGGAACAGTACAGGGTGCAAGGCTATCCTTATAAGAATGTGAAGTAGAAAGATCAGGCTGCATGAAGTGTCCTATGGCCAGAGACGGTGGTGTGGCTGGTCCAGGTCGGTGTAGTGAGGATAAAGGTAAATGGAAATGTTCCAGAAATATTCCAGAGATTAAAAACTATGGGACTACAGAACTTGATAATGGATTGGTAAAAGAAGATTAAAGCTAAAGAGAGCATGTCTGGAATGATAATACAGAGTTTGGGCATACTGAACTGAAGCACCTTATATGACATCAGTTCTGCAGTGTGGGGTGGGGTAGTTTTTCATGTTTTGAGAAGGAAACGAACGTTCAGAGAAGTAACTTGTTCAAAGACAAACAGCTGAAAGGTAGCAGGGAGAACTGGATCTCAGCTATGTCTGACTCAAAAATTGCACTTTCTGCAGGCAGAGCTGAAGGCATCTGCGTTTCTCTCTCCCTTGGGAGTCCCAGACACACTCCTTTATTGAAAGCCACTGTGCTTAGTGCTTCCACTTGCATCACCAGCTCTCTGGAGAAGTGACATACAAGTGCGAACCAAGTCTTTTACAATCAAATATTCTTGGACACAGCCTGCCTGGAAGTTGAGAATGATCTGTCTATCTTAGTGTCAAGGGTCTGCTCTGAGTCTTTGTAAGCCCAAAGCATGAGCAATTTCATAAGATAGCACTTGACAGTCAGAAGTCATTACACATTTTATTGTTGAATTGTTACCGGAGGAAATAATTTTTTATAAGTCATCTGGACACATGTATCAAGTGTACTTTTGTTTTATTCTGTAACACCAGAAGTCTCTGAGTGCCAATAAGAAAGGCTTTGTTACTAATTTATTAGCACTTATTAAAACTCAACTTACAGATGACATTATTTTCTAGAGGTTCTTATTAAACAATTATCTTGAATGGAAAAAATTCAACTTAATCTGGTTGTTGTTAAATAGCCAACAATAGCATGCCTGGCAATTAATTATTTCAATCTGAATTCCCTAAACTCTGAATTTAAGAGCTCATCAGAACTACTGCTTTACACTCAGTTCTGGTTTTCTCTGCTCATATCTGTCTGGGTCCATCTTTTGCCCGTCCTGTCTTTTCTTCCTTTGTTTGCTATCCCTTCGATGAGACGTGCTAAAATTCAGGATGGATTATCCACAGATACATGACTGCGAGGGTAATTCCTACCATTTCCGGTTCATGCTGCTTATATTTGACTCAGCTGTCATCTAGGCCTATGAGGGAATCTGACAGTATAAGGCAGTCCCTCCTTATCCATGGGTTTGACTTCTGCAGTTTCAATTATTTATGGTCAATTGTTGTTCACAAATACTAAATGAATGGAAAATTTCAGAACTTCATAGGTTTTAAGTACCTTTACTTGTAGTATAGTGTTATAACTGTTCTATTCTTAGTTATTTTTGTTAATCTTTTACTGTACCTTCTTTATAAGTTAAACTTTATCACAGGTATGCATGTATGCATGTGTGTCTATATGGGAAAAATATAGACAGATAGATAGATAGATAGATAGACAGACAGACAGATAGATGATAAATAGATGGTTTGGTACTAGCTTTCATTTCAGGAATCCATGGAATGCCTTGAAATTTGTTCCCCATGGATAAGGAAGGACTACTGTATATTGGTTACAGCACATAGCTAAATAATACTCCTTACAACGTGTCAGGCTGCACCTTTTCCTTCATCACTTTAGACAGCTAATCCTACACTTTTTTTATTAGTTGCAAACAGGAACCCAGGGATCTATATCAGCTAATCAGCACCCACTCAGTACATGCAAGATTCATACTGGTCTCTGCCCCCGGGAAGCTTAAAATTGATGTGAAAGTTAACAAAACATCTAGAACATGACAACATTTGGCTGACTTTTATTAATTCATTGCTGATTTTAAATGACTTTAGACTCATGTGTATGTAAGTCGAGCAACATCTTTATGAACTTGAAGGGTTTCTTTTCTTTACAGTTGCACA